CTACCTACCTACTACGAATACGATGGCAAACGAACGTTCCCAACACCCGACGCCCGTCGCCGCCATTCCCATCGCCGTTCAAACAGAGCATTAGCTAGTTAGGCGCTTTCTTACACGTATATCGCCATCCTTACCGTGATACACATCACGGTAAGGACGTACGGGCCTGTACTGTAATAGCTGTGAGTTGCTGCTTAGTTAGCCTTCCAAAAAACGAACGCATTCGAACTATTGCGTTTCTGAGCGATTTAGCCATTGCTAGCTATTCTGAGCGGTCGAAAGGTAGGTAGGTAGGTAAGGTAGGTCTTGGAGAGATGTGTGTGGGTGGGGGTGGTTGGACTAGGGTTAGGGTTATGTATGGGGAATCAAACTAATTGATCAATTCAATTTTCAATTCAAATATCCACTGGGCCAGTCAATTCAACTTCAAATACAGCCATTCAATTCAATTAATTGAATTGAGTGATTCCTTGGGCTGTAAGGTGTAACACGGAAATGCTCAGCTTACGGTTCTGGAACCTTTGACATGTTGTACCCTGTTGGTGTATGTATGTGCATGTTGTACCCTGTTGATACATGTAGCAAGGCACGGACCGAGAACAAGTGGTCAGGCTCTGTTGGCTGTCGATGACTTCTGGTGCAGGCAAGAAGGTGGGGGCTCCGATCAGGCGCAGGAAAACATGCGTCAATAAGAGGCTGCCAGATATGTGGCGTCTGTGACTTTGTCCAACAGGTGTAACCGGCGTCAAGAGGCGATCCGAGGCTGCCATGCCGTTACCTTCCCGTTCTGCTCAATAACATCAGCACTGAACATCTGTGTAGGTACCAAGGAAGCACACGATTCAATTCAATTCCAATTAAATTCAATCAGAACCTTCCAACTTTCAATTCAATCAGCCGCCTTCAAATATCTTTCAATCCAATCAGGTTTTATACCCAATTCAACTTGATTGATCAATTTTGCTTATTTTTTTTCCAGGTTTTCCCAGGCTTCAATTCCTTCCTTCAAATCTTTCCTTCCTACCTACTACAAATACAATGGCAAACGAACGTTCCCGACGCCCGACGCCCATCGCCGCCATTCCCGTCGCCGTTCAAACAGAGCCTCAGCCAGTCAAGCTCTTTCTGACACGTTATCGCCAACAGAACCATTTAGAGGCGCGTCCTTATCGTGACCGTGACGTATACCACGATAAGGACGGGCGGGTTCAGATTCAGGGGGTCAGTCTTGGGGCCTGTACTATAATAGTTGTAAGTTGCTACTTAGTTAGCCCTCCGAAAAACAAATGCATTCGAATTTTATTGCGTTTTTGAGCGATTCAGCCATTGCCAGCTATTTAACCGGTCGGAAGGTAGCTCGGCTCGCTCGGGTAGGTAAGGTAGGTCTGGAAGAGAGGTGTGTCACGTGTGTGGGTACGGTTTGGCCAGGGTTAGGGATATATATGGTGATTCAATTCATTGCCAATTACCTCAATTCATTGCCAATTACCTAATTGAACAATTCAACTTTCAATTTAAATATCAACTGGCCAGTCAATTCAACTTCAAATATGAACCTTTCAATTCAACTAATTGAATTGAGTTATCCCTTGTTAACTCTATAGCCTTCGGTGCCACCAACTACCACAAGCCTACCCCACTAGGGGCCCCGGCCCGAGGCCTGGCTCAGGACTTAGCTAAGGCCCAAAATCGGAACCTTCGGATAGTAGTGGGGGCCTACAGGGCCACCCCTATCCGGAACCTCGAAACCGAAGCTTGGGTCCCGCCTCTGGACCTATACCTCAATAAGAGGCTTGCC